GGATCCACCCCCAAAGTCTCCAGATATTTTCCAACCCAGACCTGGCAACCCTATTAGGCAGGGTTTTGACAGCGATTGTTCCTCCTTTGTTATACTTGACCTGTAATGCTGGTTGTCATATTTCACTAAAAAAAACCCAAAGTAGACTGCAAGAGTTCCCCCCCCCCCAAAGTCCTAGTTCAAAGTCCAATTGGAAAAAGCAACAGGCATAACAAAATGCATGGTATGATCATTATTTTGGGGAATATCTAACAATCATTCAAAACCAGTAACAGATTTTACAGACCCATTCAAGATGGAAACCTTTAAGAAATGCAGAAACTAATTTCAGCATTAAAAACGCATTGCAGCAAACAAGGCACAAACATCCCCTCTTCCTTTTTTGTGTGTAGAAAAAAATTGATTAAAACTGTTGTATTATTTGAGAACTGTTTTCAGTGTAGCATACTACACTGCTAAGTACAACAAGAATTTCAGTGATACTGAAAGACTCTTGGTATTGTAGATAAATTGGATGTCCAAGAAAGAAATTTATAATCAGCATAAAAGGTGCAAAGAATTTGTACTGTGTTACATCTGTGATACAAATGAACCACTGTGTGAAGTGCAAGACCAAAATTACATTAAATTGTAGCTGGAAGGAACCAATGATAAAGTAAGGGTGGAGGAGCTGATATTAAACCCAAGATACACAAAGAAATAAAGTCTTCTTATCTTGAAAAGCCATTGCAGAAGGATATTTGGAAGCCATTAAAATTAACTCCAAAATCTTTCAAACCAGCTGTCTGCTGATCTTGGTATCGGATTAGATGGAACAGCTATTATGGTCAATGTTGAAAATGGATTGATGCAGAAAATGCAGCAGAATTTCCTTCATCTAAGTGTCATTCACTGTATTGCTCACCGATTAAGCTGGTTTCAAGGCACACGGTTTCCAAATAATTGAAACTGTCAACAAAGAGTGCCAGATGAGTGAAGTCATACTAGGAGAAAACTCTTGTCAAAAGAGCCCTATGGTTAGGTGAGCCACATTAAATACAGTTTTCCTGTAGTTGTTGAAGCTCAAAAGACTTGTGTTCTCTGAAAAAGCAATTTGTGTTGGCAATGTAGACTTTGGCTCATGAAGTATGTTAGGGCCCCTGAGAAACACACTCTCTTGACTTGCTTGATTTTAGCAACATTGCTGAAACAAAGAGAAGCCATTAATATATGGAGAAAAGCAGATCCATAGAACCAGAGTACATATCATGCAATATTTTCCCATTCATTCCTGGGAGAAAGAAAGACAGAAGCAGAGTTTTTGCAGACATCTTTAGCAAAGAAACAGGACAGAGCTTTTTTGTTTTAAAATATGTAAAGATTTGTTCATTGCCTGCAGTTTCTCTTATTTTATTGAAAAATACTCTTCTGGCAATTTCCTCCAAAGATCCTTCATGTAAACATCACTTTTTCCACTTTTGTTGTTGTTCAGTCGCACAGTCGAGTCCGACTCTTCGCGACCCCATGGACCAGATCACACCAGGCCTTCCTGTCTTCAGTCATCCTCTGAAGTTTGCTCAATTTCATGTTCGTTGCATCTATGACACTGTCTAACCATCTCATCCTTTGCCGTCCCCGTCTTCTTTGACCTTCAATCTTCCCCAGCATCAGGGTCTTCTCCAGTGAGTGCTCCCTTCTCATTTGGTGGCTAAAGTATTTGAGTTTCAGTTTCATTATCTGGCCTTCCAGGGAACAGTGAGGGTTGATATCTTTGAGGATTGACTGATTTGATCTTCTTGAGTCCAAGGGACTCTCAAGAGTCTTCTCCAGCACCATAGTTCAATAGCATCTATTTTTTTCACTATCATCTACTAAAAAAATATGAAAATACCTTTTTAAAAAGTTTCCTGTAAAATATTTGCATCTTTAAGGAACAGAAGAGCTGTGAGTCTGTTGTAGTATGTATAAGTAAAACAAGATGCTACTCTATTTTTGTTTTGTTCCTGTAGTGGTCTTGAACAAGCAACTACGGTAACTCAGGAACAAAATTAGAATAAATTTGTTACTAAAGAATGAAGGCAGTAAGTCCCCCATGTAAGAGCAATGTGCCCCCCCCCCCAATTCTTCTAATGTTCACTTACTGGTTCCTTACTTTTTGCCTCCATGTCATTTCTTCCATGCAAGAGTCCATATTCTATAAAGTGTCACATCTCAGGATGAGAAGAATTCATGTTGTCAGGAGTTGCTAAGGCTCAAGCTATACATTATGTACAAAAACAGATGAAGAATACTATTGGTTGTGCACACAATCTTTTGCTGTGCTTTACAGACTTTCCTTCATTTGCCTTTCAAAAACTTACTATTTCCCTTTTGGAAAGAAGGAACTGAGATTAAAAGTATCTTGCCCCAGGCTACACAGTCCATACATTAACAGTTCTAACAATAACTTATAGCATGTTCATAATTACCACTGAGAAACAATAAGCTCTCTGTCCAGACTCAAGAAACAGTTTGGTGGAAAGCAGACTGGAGTACGGAATCCCAGCTATAGTCAGATTCCAACAAAATAAAATTGGTGGAAATTCCTTTTTCAGTTTTGTTTGCAGAGGAGAGAAAAATCATAGGAATGAATAATTCGGTGGCAAATGAACCTTCAGCTGAATTTGATAAGAAATTTCTTTTTAACAGAGTTTCCTGGAAATTTTGTTGGTTACAAAGCAAGTGTTTAATGCAATTACTTAGACACTACATTACAAAAATATTTCTTTGTTTTAAAGAAACAAACAAAAACAGAACAAACCATATCTGAGTGTCTTGTAAAGCTACACTCTGTCAGGTAAAGGCAAAGGTGCAACAACATGGGAGGCAGCACAACGTATTCTGACTGACATTTATCTGCCCTCCATGAGTTGAGAAGGAACAGAAGTTGTCAAACAGACAGCCATGCTCTCCTCCAGGGACCCCTCTTGAGCCTGACATGTCTGTTTGCACTTCAGTAAACTGTGAAGGAGTTAAAACTATCCCTCAACATGTGGCTTGGAAAAGTTTTTGCACATCTGTGATGCTTCTATATTATTCTGCTGCATGGGTTTTTAATTGATTTAGTAAAACATATACTTAATTAATAGGGGCATCAATGAACCATTACATCTTTATTTTCTGCTACAGTCCTTCAAATACAGCTGAATTCAGAAATTAATTAGACGGATTCATGGAAAATGAAACCTAAAGTGCCAGATTGATACATTTTGTCCAAACAAATGGGCCCTCCTTCTCAAAAAGAATACAAAAAGGTACACCTAAGAATGGAAGAATTGTTCCTTTTGTCATCTGTAGGCAATGTGGAAGATTTGCTTTCTTTGGCTTATTGGAGTGATACTATTTTGGTAAATGAAGTCTTATAGATAGCCTTTTAGAATAAACCCTCTTTCTCCCCCCTTCTATGGGAAAGATCAAGAAAAGCAAACGCTTAGCTTAGTTCCCACCTTGCATAAAGTTGGCATATATGTGAGTTGAGACCTTTGTTCTGCTCTTCCTCATTGAAGGGGGAAGTAAGGAACATAGTTCCTATGCTCAGCATCAGTGGTAAGCATCACGGTGCACCTGCAAAACCCAGGCATACTGAACAGAGTCCCTAAAGCAGACCACTGACACTAGGTCTAGTGCAGTTGTCTCATGAGCGGTTAAACTACATGTTGTGACTGGATGATCCAGCGTTAATATCAAAAGGCTACTGATCCCAACAACAGCTTGGGGTGATTTTTAATCAGGGATTCCCCTCATGCCTAGGTGCTTTTTAACAGTAAAGAACAGTATGTCAGATATCCCATGTGTTGTTTGAACAAGTATTAGATGTGTGTCCGAAGTGACCAGAAGCAGGGCAGGGCTGCAGAGAGGGACAAAGGAGTCCCCCAATGTATTGGCTAAAGTTACTGGACAAACAAGGTTGTGCCTGTCCCACCATTAACTTTTGACTGTCAGGGCACTGGCTTACCAATCAGACAAGAGACTCATTTGCCTTTCTGAATCAGCATTTATCGTTATTAATGAGTATGTCATCATTAAACACTACATGCTAAACTATATAATAACTTATGTCACTGCTTATGTCAAACACGAGAGCCAGTTTGGTGTAGTGGTTAAGTGCGCGGACTCTAATCTGGGAGAACCAGGTTTGATTCTCCACTCCTCCACTTGCACCTGACTGGATGACCTTGGGCAAGCCATAACTCTGGCACAGCTGTTCTTGAAAAAGAACAGTTTCTGTCAAGAGTTCTCTCAGCCCCACCTACCTCACAGGGTGTCTGTTGTGGGGAGGGGAAGGGGAAGGAGTTTGTAAGCCGCTCTGAGACACCTTTGGGTAGTGAAGGGCAGGGTATAAATCCAATCTCTTCTTCTTCTTCTGCTCCATGCACTTAAATATGCTATGTTCCTATTGATGCAAACAATGATGAAAACAACCGTGATGTAGTATTATGAAAATATATTTAGACTGTTGTTTTGCAGTGAGTAGTGTTCTTCTTCAACAAGTAACAAGTTTTGCAGTGAGTAGTGTTCTTCTTCAACAAGTAATAAAGATGTACGCATACACTACGGAAATTGCATATACTCCCGTTTCACATAACAGCTTTTTCACCGTGTGCTGCGTAAATACCATTAATTTACAAGTCAACAATTCTTTTTTCAATTTATATTTTTTATTGAAGTATTAAGATTGCATACAAATAATAATAGCATGTAAATACACTTCAAGTTTAACATGAGATATAGAGTAAGAGCAGTAGTGTAATTTTTACATCAATACAATTTCATATCTATGACTTCTAATATGTGACTATCTGTAAGTAAAAGTTGTAAGTTATAGCTTTACAGATGATAAGATAAAGAGTAATAAGACTTTGTAGATGTTAGAGCGCATTCTTGCCTGTAGGAGTAATTGATCTGTTAGGCTATAATTTTACCTATGATATGTCATATTCTTATAATTTGACTATGATGATTACTGTTCTTCACCTTTATAGCCATTTGGTGTAGTCTTCCCAAGACGGTGGCACAATTCGTTCTTTTTCCAAAAAGGTAAGTATAGGAAACCACTTTGCACTAAACTTCAGATCAGGCTGGCCTGTTTTCGCTGTATTGCATCTCCCAGTTATGCTCTCCATTATGTACTGATCCCAGAGCTTTTGGAACCAATCCTGACTTGTAGGTGATTTAGGGTTTTTCCATTTTGAGGCTATTGATAATCTTGCCGCATAGAGCATCGTTTTTAGGATACTTTTATGGTGGTGCTGATCAATTTTTTCCGGCCAGACCTCTAACATTAAATGTTCCGGAGTGTAGGAAAGTTCTATGTCCGTGATTTGTTTTATTTTTTCCAGGACTTCTAACCAGAATGGGCGGAGTTCGTTGCAAAGCCACCAGCAATGGGCAAAGGAGCCTATTTGACCACAGCCCTTCCAGCATAATGGTGAGTATTGTTTGGTTATTTTTGATATGGTTTGAGGGGTAAGATACCATTTTGTGTGTATTTTTAATCGGTGGAGATCTATTGAGTATGACTTGGAGTCTGAGTTGGAAGAGTTCCATATTTTGCTCCAGACCCGGTCATCTAATTTTGTCAGGCATTCTGTCTGCCATGCTCGTTGATATGGGAGAGTGGTGGAATCAAAAATGTCCATTAGCGTTTTGTATGTGTGGGAGATCAATCCTCTGTTTTGTCCATTAAATTGTTTGATGATGACTTCTAGTTTTGTGAGTGGTTGGTTCATTGATTGTCTAAATTTGCCTTGTGTCGTTGCATGCTGAATTTGAAGGTAAGTATACCATGGGATTTTGTGTTTAATTTTGGCTTCTAGTAATGTTTTAGGGTAGAGACCTTCTTTGGTTAGGATATCACTAAATCTATAGAGGTGAGCTTTCTTCCAAGATGAGGCTAAGTCTCGTGGTATTAAATTATGAAACCAAGGTTGAGAGGTAAGTGTGGTAAATCTAGATATTGTCGGAAGGAGTTTGTGTTTGATTTTTTTCCAGTAATGCATGGAAGGATTTATGAATTTGTTTTGTTTGAGATGAGTATTTATCTTGGTGTCATTACCCCATATTGGAATGTCAATGTTAGGTGTACCAGATAAATCCGCCGTCAGATTTACCCAAGGTGGAATGTTTTGAGTCCTTTGCATTTTAATTATATTTGTTACTAGAGTTGCTTTATAATATATGTGGAGATCTGGAAGTCCAAACCCTCCTCTGTTTTTGGCTCGGCGTAGAATTTTATGTCCTATGCGGGGTTTCTTCTTGTTCCACAAAAACTTCTTTAGTGTTGCTTGCCATGAGTTTAGGTCTTTAGTTGGGATAGTAATGGGCAACATTCTAAATAGAAACAGGAATTTCGGTAATATGAAGGATTTGATTAAATGGAATCTATCTAACCAAGGCAGATGAAGCTTTTCCCAGCTTTGTATATCTTGTAAGATTCGTTTGTGGGTTTTATGATAGTTGTTTGGCAACAGTTTGTTGAGATTCGTTGGGATGTCTATGCCTAAGTACCTGAAAGAGTCAGTAATTAAAGCAAAGTTGTGAGTCTGTGTTAGTTCATTTTTGACTTCTGAGGATAGTAAGATTGGAAATATTTGCGTTTTTGAGTCATTAACTGTAAGACCAGATATTGTTTTGAAGGATTTTAGCATTGATTTCAGCGGGGGTATTGAATTTACAGGATCTGTTATGTACAACAACATGTCATCTGCAAAGAGGGACAGTTTATGTTCCACTTGCCTAGTTGATATACCTTTAATGTGTTCATTGGTTCGGATCGCTTGGGCCAAGGGCTCGATTGCTATGGCGAAAAGGAGGGGAGACAGAGGGCAGCCCTGTCTCGTTCCCTTTTCCAGCTTTATAGGGTTGGATAAAGAGCCATTTATCTTTATTTTCATGTTTGGGTTTTTATATAAACTTTGAATGGTTTTGATAAATTTGGGGCCAAAATTCATCTCTTGGAGAGTGTGAAATAGATATTTGAAAGAGACCGTATCAAACGCTTTTTCGATATCAAGGGAGAGGAACGCTGCTGCAATTTTGGAGTCTAGACAATGTTGTGCTAGTTGTAGTGTTCTTAATGTATTATCGGAAAGATCCCTGTTAGGTATAAATCCTGCTTGATCGTGATGGATGTAGTTTGGTATGAAAGTGTTAATCCTTTTGGCCAATATCGAGGAAAAGATTTTCTGGTCCTGGTTGAGGAGGGAGATTGGGCGATATGAAGTTGTGGACATTGGATTTCTATCTGGTTTCGGGATCACTACTGTGTTTGCAAATTTCCAGGAGGTAGGTATATCTCCGGTGTCCAGGATATGGTTAAACGTTTTAGCCAATTGTTTGGTCAGGAGACTTTTGAATTTTTTATAGAATTCCGATGGGAATCCGTCCGGTCCAGGAGTTTTCCCATTTTTAAGTAGCCTAATGGTGTCTGTTATTTCTTGTTCTGTAATGGGAGCTTCCATGAAATTTTTGTCTACTTCTGATAGTTTTGTGTGTATCGGGAATTTATTTGATTCCGATTGGAAGGTAGGTTGGTCTATTGGGGTCTGAGAATACAATTCTGTATAATATTCATGAAATCTTTGTAAAATCTTGTCAGTTTGGGTTTCTATGTTCCCTAGTTTGGTTGCAATTGCGGAGATGTGTCTGTTTCTGGCCTGTTCTTTTACTTTATGAGCAAGAAGTTTTAGATTGCGTGGTGATTTAACCCAATATTTCTGCTTAACATAAAGCAGTTGTTTTTGGATCATGGAGGTTTCTAATATTTCCAGTTTCTTTCGTTCAGCTTCTAGTTTAGTCCTAATGATTGGTGATCCTTTTTTTTGTGTTTTTTATCTAATAGTTCAATGTTTTGTATGACTTCCGACTTTAATTGTTCTTTTTCTCTTTTCAGGTGTGAGGCCTTTGATATTATCGAGCCCCGGATCACCGGTTTTAGGGCATCCCAGACCGAGCAGGGCGAAGTCTCCTGATTGTCATTAATCTGTAAATAATTTTTGATTTCATTTTCCAGGTGTTCTGTGAATAGTTGGTTGTTCAATAAATTTACATTCAAAGACCATTGTGTGTTTGTCGTTCTTTTGGATGGGTTTTTTAAATTGCATATGAGTAGATCATGATCTGACCATCTGTGAGGTGTAATGTTGACACTGTCCACTTGTGATACAAGAGAGGAAGATAGTAAGATAAGATCTATTCTGGAGTGGACTGTGTGGCTTGTTGAAAAGTAAGTATAGTCGTGTACACCTGGGTGTTTCAATCTCCAAATGTCGGTGAGGTTGTGCGCTTTCAATATGGAATCTAACTTGGTAAGTCTGTTTTTAGGTGTAGGATGATGAGAGGTGTGGTGGGATTTGTCTAAGAACTTATCTATAATGTAATTGAAGTCTCCTCCCAGCACAATATCGCCTTCAGCGAAATTCTGGAGGAGGGTAAGAGTGGATTCGATGAATTGGAGCTGTCCTTCATTAGGAGCATACAATGTGGCAATGGTCAGCTTATTATTGTTTAGCATGCCTTTTATGAAAAGGTATCTACCATTAGGATCTGACTTACTTTGTTCCAACGTGAAGTGTATGTTACGGGAGAGGAGTATTGCCACCCCTCGTGAATTTGAGGTGCCTGGGGCTAAGAATTGTGTCGGGAATTTGGGGTTTTTAAAAACCAGATTATTTGATTTTTTGAGGTGTGTTTCCTGCAAGAGGATGACATCAGGATTCAGTTTCATCAAGTCAGTAAGGACTCTGCGCTTCTTAATGGGGTGGTTCAATCCCTTTACATTACTTGTTATTACTTTAATACAGTCAGCCATGATCTTAATGGTTATTGCAAAGTAAGTATCCTACCTGTTGGCGTATAAATCTTGAATAAGGTTGTAGAAGATGATGATGTTAGGACTCTTGGGAAGACTTCACCAATACGAGTAGAGATGGGTGTTCAGAAGATCTGTTATCTAACAGGGTATGTTTGGTAATGGAGAAAATCAAATATATATAGTTAATTGCTGGAGATAGAATGATCAGATCAACTTATTAATTGATTAGTATTATAAAAACAGTGGTATATATGTATTTAAATTAAAAAAGAAATAATAAAAAACAAGTTAATCAGATTAAGATTATTATTTGGAGTCTGTAGTTATTCGAAAAAATACTTCTAAGATGTACGCTTTTTTTTTTCCCTTTTAACTGTAAGTTATTGGAGTCTGTATTTGTTAGGAAAAACAATTCTTAGTCTATCTGACTGTTGATTTAGATTGAGAAAAGATTGTTATTTTTACTGCAAGTTTGAACAGAATGCGTATATATATATCACAATATAGAAGAGTTCAAAATATGTATAATTGAAGATGAAGATTGCTTTGTTGCAATACTTGGTGATAAGATTTTAACAGCGTATGCTTATTTACAGCTAAAACAACAACAATTATAGTCTATCTCTGATCTTCCACCTTCTAGAGTCCAAAGGTGGAAGACTGGGGAACGCCCTGCCCTTGGTTTCTAAGAAACCTCCCCAGCCGTTCATCCAGAGATAAGACTACAAAAATAACAATTAATACAATTGGAAACGGTTACCCCCTCCCCCCCCAACCCCCTCAGAACAAATAATTTCAAAGGTAGTAAAAACAGCAACTTTTAAAAATACTAAAAAACTGGTAATTCATGGAGTAACTGGAACATTTCATTAACATTAGAAAGTTGAGAATATAATCATTTAGATGGGTAAAATAGGAGTCTTGGGGCATCAGTAAGGACGTCTTTCAGTGAGGCACTTGTGAAGGAACGACAGCCTTTTTGCCGCTTCAGAGTTACTGGCTTAATCTGAAATCGATGGTAGACAGCAATGTTGCTTAGCAAGTAGCCAGATCTCCATATCCTATGGCGTGCTGGGCAGTTAGGCATCAGCGGAACTCGATAAAGTCTATGTTGTAGGTGGTCAGTTTTCCGAGTCTTCGGCATCCGAAAGCCCGGGCGACGATGAGGAGTGCCTTCTCTTGTTGGTTTGATTCGTGTACTCCATAGACGGGCAGACATTGAGATGGGATAGAAGTTGTAAGCCTTCATCTTTGTCGGAGATTCTGTGTGTCTTGCCTTTAAAAGTGAACTGTAGAACGAGCGGGGTGTGCCATGTGTACTTAATGTCAGCCTCGCGTAGAGTGGTGGTGATCGTCTTCAGTTCCCGCCGTTTCTGCAGAGCTTCTCTGGGGAGATCCGGGTACACTTCAATGCGTTGGTTCAGATATTTCAAATGACCTTCCTTTCGTGCATGAGTTAAAATTCTTTTACGAAATCTGGTGTCCATGAGTGTAATCATTACGTCTCTTGATGGTCTCGATTTCAGCAGGGACGTGGGACCCAGTCTGAATGCTTTAGTAATCAGTGGAGACTGGTCACTTTCAGTACCCACGACTTGCGCCAGCCAGGTCGACAGATGGAACGCTAAATCACCTTCTTTTTCAATGTTCTCTTCCAGTCCTCTCAATTTTAAATTATTTTGACGTAGAGACAGATCTAATTTCATTGTTTTTTCTGCTAAAATCTCTTCAGCTTGCTGCATTTGCTGAATGTTATTTTGGTTAGCTATACTATTTTGGATCGCCATTTCTGCAGTATGATTGGTCTTAGTCAGGTTTTTTTCAGTGGTCTCCACACGATCATATAAAGGTTTAAACATGGAATTCACATGAGTGAAAAAGTTTTGTTCCATAGACAATAATGCCTCCTTTAGATCTGCGGCCGTTATGGGCGCGATTTTATCGGCTTCTGAAATGGCGGTCGCCATTTTGAGTACAGGTTGATCTTCGGGGCCCAGAGTGTTGATCGGTTTCAGAGATTCTGACCTGCTCTTGTCTTTTTTCTGTTTCTTCACCAGGGGTAGTGCGGTTTTCGGTGCTTCTTTCTCCATGTATGTAAGATTTTTTCGTTGCTGCTAAGTTCGATTTCAGGGGGGTGGCGGGCTTCGGGTTCGGCGGAGCCAAGGGTTTAGGCAGCCATTTCCCTTAGTCCCGCCCCGGAAGTCCAAGTCAACAATTCTAATCTGTGAATAAACACTCAAACATTCTTCCCACTGCAATGAAACAAATTCTTTCTCTCTGTTGTTTCTACATGTTCCTATTGATGGCTGAGAGAGCCCCAAGATTATGTGTTGCCCTGGGTTCTGAGTTACCTCTCTGCAGCCCTGAGAAAGGGTTCTGGTGTTACTGAGCAGCTGAGATGGGAAAAGGAGGCTGCTACACCTGATCTTTTGGCTGCCCCAGGGTACCATCCACTGTTAGTCTGCCACCCCATCACCACAGCGGCTGCCCCAGATGAGAAAGGGCTGACTGGAAGCAGTGAGGAGGATGAGCAACATGAGAGCAGCGCCACTTAAGGGGGAGGGAGGAAGGAATGAAAGAGTGAATCCTGACCCACAGGCATAAAGAAAGGAGGGGGCTCAACTACAGGAATCGTCTTCTGCCAGGGTTGCTTGCTCCTACCCTGCTGTAGACTTGGTTGAGATGATAGTATTTCAACATTGTATACACACTTATTTTATACACCCTTATATCAGTTTTAGCTTCAAGACCTACCTAAGTTAGTGACTTGGCTAAGATTAGTGAACATAATCAGAAAATTAAACCTGTCTGCTTTACTTCTAACTCTTTTTACTGAATCAACATTCCTTTCCAGACACACATACATACATCAGCATTCTGAGTTCCAAAACCTTTGATACAATCTACTTTTTTCCTTTATTGAAGAATACTATTTAAATTTTAATGAATCTGCCTAGGCTTCATGATGGTGAACCCATGCCATCTTAATTAGTCACCAATCTTGAAAGGGGGGGGAGTGAACTGTTTACTAGCAAGCCACAAGTGGTTAAGACGCTGAACTGCAGGCTATGGAAGGTCAGTAGTTCAGCAGTTCGAGACCCGGGTGCCGCATGACAGAGTGAGCTCCCGTCTCTAGTTCCAGCTCCTGCCAACCTAGCAGTTCGAAAGCAAGAAATTGCAAGTAGATAAATAGGTACCACTTCGGTGGGAAGGTAACAGCGTTCTGTGTGCCTTGGTGTTTAGTCATGGTGGCCACATGACCACAGAAACATCTTCAGACAGCGCTGGCTCTTCGGCTTTGAAACGGAGATGCGCACCGCAACCCTAGAGTCGGAATCGACTGGCTTTCGAGCAAGGGAACCTTTACCTTTACTTACAATGTTACCAGCAGAAAATATTAGCCTCTCACAATTTCTCTGAGAAATCTTCTAGCCCTTTCCCTTTCCTAAAAAACAAAACAAAATCTTGGCAATAACAATGCCTAGAAAGTATGTCCAACTGGAAACACCTGTTTTATTGTTTTTTAAACCTTATTGTATTATTTGAGATGTGACCCACCCTGAGCCAGTTCACGGGATGCGTGGGATACAAATATGAAAAATAAATAATAAATAAAATAAATAGAGCACTAAGAGTTGTAAAGCCTACAAGCAAGACTATAATCAGTGCAGCCCTAAGAATTCTACCCTTCTAAATCCATGGGCTTAGAAGGGATAACTCTTTAGAACTGCACAATTATATAACCCCACGTTTAAAGAAGAACCTCTAACTGATATTCAGAAATGTAAGAACAGATTTCAATGTCCATTTTAAAAACCAAAGTCCAGTTTTCCCCCTATGATTTTTAACAGAGCACCCCACAACAAATATAGGCACATATATGATGATGTCCACTGTAGTAATTTACAGTTAATTGTTTACAGATACCATACCAGCAAAAAGAAACATGGGGTCAGTTACTGGATACTGTGATATGCATCTGAATGTTCAAGTGGGAGAATCAAAGACCAGAAAGAAAGGAAAAAGAAACCCACAGATATTGACTCATAAAATGACTGTGCAAAACTATTTGACCTCTGAAATTTCAACGGTTTGTAGGAAGATTATGCAGACACACAAATAAATGGAAATGCATT